AATCGTTTGCACCCCCATAGAAACCACAAAGTGAAATAATACTGTTTGAGTACTCGTATAGCATTAAGCCTCAGTGTACAGCACATTAAGGACAGAGATCCTACATGAGGAGTAAGTGCACAGTGACTCCTGTTGTTGACTTTACAAATTGACACTCCTGTTTATGGCATCAGTAATCTCCCTATGCACCAGTCATGAGTTTCCAAGGCTATGGAAGCCCCTTGAGTTCTCCGACTCTTATCTTGTTTAGACAAGGTCATAGTCAAAGTGGAGGTTCTCTCCTCCCTTCAGAGAAAGGCACCTCCCTCTTTGAAGACCTGTTCTTTCCACTGGGATCTCACTCACAGAGATCTTTTTGCCAGAGTGTCTTGGCTTTCCATGCCTGAAATACTCTCATGGGCTTTTCAGCCAGATCCAAGTGCCTTCAGGGCTGATTCTGAGGCCAGAGTGCTATTTAGGACATCCGCCATTCTATGAGTCTGCTGAGTATCTCACTTCCCATGTTGGATCACTCTCCCCTTTATTTATTCTATCGGTTAGTGTTAGCAGATACTAGACTTGTTTATGTGCTCCCTTTGACTCTTAGTCCTTTCATTATGATCAATTGCTGGTTAGTTTTTCTCGTTAGACTCCAACATATTGTGCTATTTTGAATAGCTTTCCTATCATAAGCATTCCCCAAGAACTTTGATTTTTTTGAATGACCAGTGAAGGGAAGCTTCTCTGGCTGTCTTTCCTGCTCTTTTGGGTGCAACTCTGACTGTTGGGTGGTATCTATATATCATCACATAAGCCCACGGAAATCAGAATGTGGGAGTTCTGGGCTAGAGCTTTATTTCTTGTTTCCCTTCCCTTCACTGAGGGGTATTCAGCATATTCCATGTGATTCTAAGACTTGAAATTCCTGAAATGTTAGAAAATGACGAGCTGGGGCCAGCGCTGTGGCGTAGCTTCCCCATATGGGTGCTGCTTCGAGTCCCAGCTGCTCCGCTTCTGATCCAGATCTCTACTATGGCCTGGGAAAGCAGTGGAAGATGGCCCAAGTGCTTGGGCCCCTGTACCCATGTGGGAGATCCAGAAGAAGCTCCTGGCTCCTGGCTTCTGACTGGCCCAGCTCTGGCTATTGTGGCCATTTGGGGAGTGAGCCAGGAGATAGAAGACCTCTCTCTCTGCCTCTTCCTCTCTGTAACTCTGCCTTTTGAATAAATAAATAAATCTTAGAAAAAAAAAAAAACAAACCTGCTTTTTCCCTGCTTTAAGTACCTGGACTTCTAAGTTGTATGTAGGGAGAAGTTGTATATGGTCTTAATGTTTTTGTGTTACATCACCTCAAAGACATAACCTAACACTTATAATTTAGGGATAATGGCACTTGGAGTTAGTTGCATATTAAAAGTATATACATTTTTGCTGGCGCCATGGCTAACTAGGCTAATCCTCTGCCTGCGGCGCCAGCACCCCGGGTTCTAGTCCTGGTCAGGGCTCCAGATTCTGTCCCGGTTGCTCCTCTTCCAGTCCAGCTCTCTGCTGTGGCCTGGGAGTGCAGTGGAGGATGGCCCAAGTGCTTGGGCCCTGCACCCCATGGGAGACCGGGAAGAAGCACCTGGCTCCTGGCTTCGGATCAGCACCGGCCGCGGTGACCATTGCGGGGGGTGAACCAACAGAAAAGGAAGACCTTTCTCTCTGTCTCTCCCTCTCACTGTCCATTCTGCCTGTCAAAAAGTATACACATTTTTATGTTCTTTAGCATTTAGGTGAGAGGTTACAAACTTTCATACATACATATGAAAGTATTTGCCACAAGAGATAATCAAGGGATTCACCTGAATATTTGGCAACCACACAGCTCACTTGGCCTGGTCACATGGTGTAGAAAGTGGAAACTATCGTCTGCCCGTCCCTTCACAGCTCTGGCATGGTGGAGTGGGGTGGCAGCCTCTTGTCCCTCCTCAAGGTGACCTTCCCTAGCCTGCTCAGTGTCAGACGCTGACCTGTTTCTGGGCTCCGGCCACGCTGTGTGTCTGCTACAGGATGTGTCTGTGTTTCCACCTTCTAAGAAAGCGTTTGTGCTGTCCTTTTCTCTTCTCCAAACAGAAAACGTTCTGCAAAGCCTGAAACTGTGATTGACTCTTTGCTACAGTAAATGTTATAGACTTGAAGTTACAATAAAAATTAATGATATTCTCATGGCTGGACAAAATCTTTAATTAAAACATTGAAGACGTCTGTGTAATTTCAAATAATGGAAGCTGTAAATCATGACGTAAGACTGGAAATAATTTACTTAATAACGTTTAGTCTGTATATATTAAGTTAATATGACATACTGAAATTGTACAACTGGTGATTGTTCAAATTGTCACACTCCTCTTCAGTTGTATTGTGTAGGGAGCCTGGAGGAGCTTTTTGTGCTATATAGATTGGCGGTTTAGATGTATGTATAAATCTGCTAGTGATTTACTCAACTTACGTATATTTAAATACCAGAATTTCAAAATAGTAAAAAAGTGTGTCCTGTTTTGCACATGGGAAGTAGCAGATTGAATTGTCCTGTGTTGTGCTGTTAGATGTGAATGTTGGGGTGCATAGCTGAGAAATGATTCTGTCCTCACACTCTCCTGCCCAGCCTGCTTCAGTAAGTCCTAGTGTTTATACTAATGTTCGTTGCATCTTAAGTGTAAGATGATTGGTCTTAGTGGTCTTCCGTAGAAAATTTTATGATTCATCAGTCAATCTTTGAAAGCATACTTTTTTTTAAAGGTGAAGCTGTGTTTCATCTGGACTTTTTTTCACTTTGAATTCAAGTGTACTTCCTTTGTTGCTCTTGTTTCATGTTCCCTTAAAACACGGAATTGTACCTAAGTACAGGTGGTACAGAAAGCTAGGAAGCTGAAGTACTGGCCACTTGTGTGTGTTTGGACATGTGTTTTCTAAAGGTTCACTTTGAAGTGTGGCCTATGGGTGCTTGGCTTTGCTTGATTCCAGATTTTGGTGGGAATGATTCTGTGTCTTCCAATTTAGAAGGGTTTGCATTTTCCAGAAAAAATCATTCAAGGAAAAAAAAATCATCTTTTAATCTTTTAAAACACCATGTTTGGGTTTTGTTCTTATTTTATAACAATAAAATTTTCTTCGAATTTCCTATGTTGGTTAACCCACTTAAACCATATTCCTTTAAAAATACAAATTATGTGTTATAGTAATTTGTAATAGATAGAATTACTTGTTCTTTGATTGAATGCTTTAAAACATTTTTATGTTTTTTGAAAGCTAAGCTACTACTCCTGAACCACTTAAAGTATCTTTTGTGGGTTTTTAAGTTACATAATCAGGGATGGGCAGAGTGGTACAGTGGGTTAAACCATGGATGGGGATGACTCCACCCGTATCAGAGTGCTGATTTGATTCCTGACTCCTGTGCTTCTGACCCACCTTCCTGCTGATGCATCCCTGAGGCAGCGAGTGGTGGCGTAAGTGCGGGAGACCTGGATGGAGTTCCTGGATGTGGGCTTTGTCCTGCCCAGGCCTGGCTGTTACGGGCATTTGGGGGATGAACCAGTGGATGAAAGATTCCTCTCTCTTTCTCTCTCTCTCTCTTTGCCTGCTTCTGCCTTTAAAATAAATACACTTTAAAATTATGTAATCAGTTTTGAAATACATTGGTTGCAAGTTTTAAACCTCTCAAATTAGTATTTATTAGCTATTATCGGTTTGGTTAAATATTGGTTTGCAATTTCTAATGGGCACATAGTGTGGAGATGAGTGAAAGTGGAAGATGGTGAGGTGGTGGTAAAAATGTGTCCATAAGTTTAAAGTGCATTCCGGAAGTGGAATATTAACTGGCCTGTGCATGGTGAGTATTTCCTAGGTCCTGAGAATTCATTTCGCTGGTGGCATTTTCTTTGTGGGTGTAAGATAGCTAGCTGATAACTGCTCCGTGGGACCCTTCTTTGATACTGCAAAAACTTGAGGTGAACATGTGTCTTGTAAGAGTTTTTGGGACAGTATATCTTGACAAATGTTACATGTTTTGGTAATGCATCTGTAAGTGTTAGTAATTACAGAAATCTTAATTTTTAAGATCAATGCTGCTTCTTTTTAACCATTAGCAATTCAGGTAGAAAACGAATAACTTTTGAATTATTTTAGAACATTATAGAAATTTAAGCTATTCTGTTACATATTTTTTCTGTTTTACCCCAACACAGTAAGGAAAACACATCTATGAAAAGTCAAAATACTGAGAAATTTTTGAAGCAGGCTGCGTTATCATTTGAGCATTTGTGTTAGGACAATGCTTACATCAGATGAATACTAAATATTCATCCTGAGAGATAGGAAACTGACCATGAAAGCCAGCCTTGGATATGGAATGAAAATATGGGCAGTGACTTGGAGCTGTTCATTTAACTCCGGCTCTAGGAGTTCTGTGGTTTCTTCACGTTTACTGTGCCTTTGTCCACAGATGAAGTATTTTGTAACTTCAGTGTTAATTTCGTGAATGAATATAGATGAACAAACCTCCTTATGTGAAATAAATATGCAGATTTAAAATGAAATGAGTGGCACATATATATAAATAAGTTTTTGAATGAGTATTCTCTTTTCCATTTAATTTAAGAAGTAATATTTATTTATTAAAAGGAGCTTTGGTCAAATGTTAGGGTTTATAGTATATTCTTTAATAACCCTGTAATTATATATAAAAATAGGTAGTGTTTTAAAATATAATCATATTCCTTGTTTTTGTTCAGATTCTTGTAAATATAAGATTAATCAAGGGCGTAGGGATCTGCGTCTGCACGTTTGTTCTGTAAATAGAATCCGCTCAACAAGCTGTGTTATTTACCTTCTGGAAAAAGGGTGATTTCTTTCTGCATCAAGAAGTTTAAGGATGTGCTAGCAGAGAGAGGAGTGCTACTTTGTCTGCAGTGTGCTTTAAAAATTATTATGGTTTCGGGACTTTTTTTGTTGTTTGCTCGTTTTTGTTTTTGTTTTTTTTAGTTTGCTTCTAATCTTTCCCCTTAGCTCGCCTGAAGGAAAGTCCATGTCTTTGCATCAGGGCCATGAATTAAGGAATGGGACAGTTTACATTTAAGAAGGCCAGTGTCTTCCCAGTTTCCTCACATGTACATTTGTTTTCATTTTTAATTATCTTTGTTTCTAAAATACTAGAAAAAAACATAGGTCTTCCTCGTGCCTTTGAACTTACACTGTATTCTGACTTAAATCATTGATAATTTCAGTAGCATTACTACAATGCTGTATATTGGCTAGAATTACAAATTGAACAATGAGTTTGTTGCATTGATTTTGAAAGCCACACTTGCATTTTATTTTATGTATAATTTGTATTTGTTCAAATTGTATTATATCAGTATTGTATGTTTACAAGCAGCATGGTTAAATAAGAAATAAAAATCTTTTACCAAGTGCCTATAGTAGTGGTCTTTTATGAACACTTGTGTTTATTTCCAACCTGAGGTTAATGAGCAGGTTCTTTGCATTTGTACTCTAAAGGTCATGTGGTTAAAGAGAACTGTGTGTTTCCCACCCAGAAATTCTTAATGTGTGGGAGTTTTAAACAGAAGTCATCGAGAAATAGACATTTGGGAGAGAGATTTTTAAATATACTTCTCACTGATTTAAGTTTATTTTTCCACTGAGAATATTCAAGTTTTATTTTCCTTTGCATTAGGTTTTTGAGAACAGAGACCAGTTCTCCAGTCATACCTTAAAGAAACATGTGCAAAATGTAGCCCACTGAAAGGTGAGATGAAACATGGCTTAGTGGTCACGAAACCATGATCTCATTCGACAACTCTTCACAAGCTGGAACAATCTCCACAACAATAGCATTGCTTGGATTATTGTTACTCGTACATTATTCTGATGAACATTGATTACCAGGCACTGTGCTAGGCTGCTTTAAGAAATGCAAAGTTGGGGTGGTGCCATGGCGCACTAGGTTAATCCTCCACCTGTGGCACCAGCATCCCATAAGGGCACCCAGTTCTAGTCCTGGTTGCTCCTCTTCCAGTCCAGCTCTCTGCTGTGGCCCAGGATGGCAGTGGAGGATGGCCCAGGTGTTTGGGTCCCTGCACCCGCGTGGGAGACCAGGAAGAAGCACCTGGCTCCTGGCTTTGGATTGGTGTAGCTCCAGCTGTTGCGGCCATTTGGGGGATGAACCATAGGATGGAAGACCTTTTTCTCTGTCTCTCTCTCTCTCTCACTGTCTGCAACTCTACCTGTCAAATAAATAAAAATTTTAAAAAAAATTGCAAAGTTGGGCATTTGTGGACAGTCTCAAAGGACTTTTTTTTTTAATATTGTATTTATTTATTTGAGAGGTAGAGTTACAGAGAGAGGGAGAGACAGAGAGAAAGGTCTTCCATCTGCATGTTCACTCTCCAAATGGCTGCAATAGCTGGAGCTGATCCTAAGCTGGGAATCAGGAGCTTTTTCCAAGTCTCCCACGCAGGTGCAGGGGCCCAAGCACTTGGACTATCTTCTACTGCTTTCCCAGGCAATAGCAGAGAGCTGGATTGGAAGAGGATCAGCCATGACTAGAACTGGCACCTATTTGGGATGCTGGCACTGCAGGCAGAGGCTTAGCCCAAAGGACTCCCCTCAAAGGACTTTTTAAAAAAAAAAATACAGCTTTTGGGGCCAGCACTGTGGCGTAGCTGGTAAAGCCACTGTCTGCAGTGCCATTTCACATGGGTGCTGGTTTGAGTCCCGGCTGCTCCACTTCCAATCCAGCTCTCTGCTGTGGCCTGGGAAAGCAGTAGAAGATGGCCCAAGTGCTTGGGCTTCTGCACCCACGAGGGAGACCCAGAAGAAGCTCCTGGTTCCTGGCTTCAGTTCAGTGTAGCTCCCGGCGTTGCAGCCATCTGGAGAGGGTGGAAGATCTCCCCCCCGCCCTTTCTCTCTGCCTCTGTCTCTGTAACCCTGCCTTCTAAACAAATAAATAAATCTTTATATATTTAGCTTTTGCATAAAAAGGAGACTCCTCTTGCTGTTGCAGGGCTTTCTCTCTTCCTTTTCCCAATTGCCAAGCTATGTAAAACTCCTCTGAGTGTATAGAAAATAAATGTAGAGGCTGGCCCTGGCATATGCAAAATAATGAGTAGTGCTGCCTTTGTACCCTCTGCCCCTCTTCCCCCACTGAGGTGTGGAGCTGCAGTGTCACCTGCTTCAAGCAGCACCCCGAGGTGCTCCCCAGGAAGCCAGTTACTGCCTTGTTCTCAGGGCCGCTGAGAACACCATGCATTATGCCATCTTGTGCAGACCCCCAAGAGATTGCTCCACACCTAGCACTAGCCCAGTGGACTGGTTCCTCCCTCGTGGATAATCAGAACTAGGTAGAATAACATGTATTTTGCTTTGACTGATAGGACTTTAGAATACGGTGGCCTACTTGCCTTTAGTCTGATTTTTTTTTTTTTTTCAGGACCGCCATTTCCTACTCCCTTTCTTCTTTGGCCCTAATAATACTGTTATTTTCTGCCTTAATCCTTTGCAACAGATCAGTTTGAGTCCATTTTTAAAACAAGATAGTGCACAAATAAGCTAAGACTGCAGTTAGTGTGTGCCTTATAGGGACAGTTTGTGCCATTCTAAAGCCACAGCCTCCACTTGATGCCAGCTGGAGGAACCTTCCAAACACTTGTTTGTTGTAACATTATCTGAATGTCTCATTCTTAAGCCGTTTCATTTGCAAAGCAAATCAGGTATTCAGTCTTCCTTCGGAAGTTGAACAAATGTGTGGGAAAATGATTATGAAGAGGCTACTTCAAAAAAGAACCTGTTTCCTCTCAGCATTTATCTTGGGCTTCCTGTGACCCAATCTTCAAGTTACTTTTATCAGCGTTATCAGAACATCAGATTTTACCCGAACACGTTTATGGCTGTGACTAAAGAATATGACAGATCAGACATTCTTCCACACCTGCTCTCCTCCCCCATCCCTTTTAGAGGGCTGGGGAAATTCTAGTTTTTAATCAAAGGCTTTATTTCTCCAGTTGCACAAAGGAATCTAACTGGGACTTTACAACGGAATAAAATATTTCTCAGAGTCGATACCAATCTCAGCAAGAGGATATTGCCCAACTCCACCTAAAAGTACTAGAGTCATTACAGAAGTTTGTTGGCTTTGATTCCTCCTCCACTGTGAGTTAGGCCTCCCCGTTGCCAAGTGTGTGTGTGTGTGTGTCTCCTGCTGTAGCCCAATTTCTGTACATGTGTCTTTTGTGTTTGCTGTATACCTGCACTGTGCTGAGTGGGATGTTCCTGGGAACACAGAAGTGCTCAGTCCTCGCAGAACTCACAGCCTCTCTCAGTGGGCCGAGGGTGCCATGTGCAGAGGGCTCTACAGGAGGGTGAATGATGAGCGTCAAGTCCTGTGTTCTTCCATTGCAACTAGCACAGCATCTCACACGTCTGCCTGACCAAGGAGTCGGCCAGACTGCCTCTCGGGGAAGAGCTGTTGAGGCTTTGAAGCCATTCAGTAAGTGGGGAGGCATTCTAGACAAAAGGAGTAGAATGCGTTTAGCTGCCAAGTGCGCTGATGTTCTGCTGGAACTGAGGCCACAGGGCTGTGTAGGGAGAGGCCAGGATCCCATTGTCAGAGTTTTCTGTAAGTGAAGGATGTCCAGTGGGACTCTGAAATTGTGTTGTAGAGAAACAAGTGCTGACCAGATTGTGAAGGTTTAGATGGGAGGGACCAAGGCCTGGGAGAGCCGGTGATGTGTGCACAGGCACCCTGGAGGCTGACGCCGTCATCAGCCGGATGATCCGTTCTCTCATGAACTGCCTGGCACCTGTGACTGCTCTGGACTGAGGGAGCCTATATGTCTTTACTCTCTGTACTCCAGCTGCCTAGCAGGTCCCTGGATGTGTAGTGAGCACTGGTGAACAGGAACCAAGGACCAGAGACTGGAAGTTGGACTAGGGAGAAGTGGACAGGAAGGATGACTCGGGCAGAAGAAAGGTGCTCCAGAGAGCTAAGAGGTGGATATCTGGGGTTAAGGCAGAAGGCTGGTTCTGGACAGAGTGAGCATGACAGCCACCCAGGGGATGTTGGTATCCCCCTGGGGATGGAACTCCAGCTTGAGTTGACAGACTGGACCTAGAATCAGCCCCGACGTGAGAGAACGTGCTGCCCTGCCCAGTGATGCTGGTAGGATGCAGAAAGCTAAGCTTGTATTGAGAAGCCAGGCTGAGCCTTGCTCCATAAGGAAGCAATGCAAGGGCCAGCGCTGTGGCACAGCGGATTAAAGCCATAACCTGCAGTGCCAGCACCCCATATGGGCACTGGTTCTAGTCCTGCCTGCTCCACTTTTGATCCAGCCCTCTGCTATGGCCTGGGAAAGCAGTAGCAAATGGTCCAAGTCCTTGGGCCCCTGCATCCATGTGAGAGACCCAGAAGAGGCTCCTGGATTCAGATTGGCTCAGCTTCAGCTGTTGTGGTCAGTTAGGGAGTGAACCAGCGGATGGAAGACTTATCTTTCTCTTCGTCTGGCTCTGCCTTTCTCTGTAACTCTTTGAAATAAATTAAATAAATCTTTATAGAAAAAAAAAAAAAAAAGGAAGCAATGCATAGCCCTTTGTCATGAGAGTCCTCAGATGCCTTTGGGTACCCTGAGATGCAGAAGGGAGGGTGAGGAAAAACTGGGCAGGTCAATGGCACAAATGAGCCAGGAGCAACCAGAGGGGCCATGTCTGTGTGTTTAAAAAATGTATTTATTTGAAAGGCGGAGTTAGAGATCTTCCATCCACTGGGTCACTCGCCAAATGGTCACAATGGCTGGGGCTGCCCCACGCTGAAGCTAGGAGCTTCTTCTGGGTCTCCCACATGGGTACAGGGGCCCAAGCACTTGGACCATCTTCTGCTGCTTTCCCAGGCCATTCGCAGGGAGCTAGATTGGAAGTGGAGCAGCTGGGACTTGAACCGGTGCCTATATGGGATGCTGTTACTGCAGATGGTGGTTTAACCCACTGTGCCACAGAGCCAGCTATTGTTGTGTTTGTATTAGAAGCCACCCTTTCTAATTGTGGCCCAAGAATGTTTTAATAAGAGACACGGCTATAGATTTGAGCCAAATGGCTTTTTTTCCCATTTGTTTATCCAGTGAGTATTACCTACTACCAGATGCCAGTCAGAGATGGTTGATTCAAGGGCAGAAGGTGGAGGTAGCCAATAGCCAGGAGGGCGAGGTCAGCCTGTGCTGTCAGCGTCACATATTCCATGTGCAAATGAGGTCCGTCCCATGAAGCAGGCGTAGGCTGTGGCTAAGTTTCTGAAATGAGTGTGCTTAAATGACAGGCATCTTGACTTTGACTTACTCCTGGACTTCTGCTTCGCTCGCTCTGTGTGTCCTCTTCCATCTGTGCTCTCTGTATGTTTAGAGGCACCTCGCTGGGTTTCCATGCAGAGTCCAGGATTACAGTCTGAAGTGAATGGAATGTGAGTTGTATCTTGACCATTGAATCTTGTCTTCAGACAGATCTGCCATAGAGCCTGCATGTGTCCTTTCTCTAACTTGTTTCAAATCTTTTTTTTTTTTTTAAGATTTATTTTATTTATTTGAAAGACACAGATACAGAGGGGGGGGGGTCTTCCAACTGCTGATTCACTCCCCCAAAATGGCCACAACAGCAGGAGCTAAGCTGATCCAAAGCCAGGAGGAGCCTGGAGCTTCTCCAGGGTCTCATGTGGGTGCAGGGGCCCAAGGACTTGAGCCATCCTCTGCTACCTTCCCAGGCACATTGGCAAGGAGCTGCATTGGAAGTGGAGTAGCTAGGACTAGAACTGGCACCCATTTGGGATGCCAATGCTGCAGGCCAGAGCTTTAGCTTGCTGCGCCACAGTGCTGGCCCCTCCAAATCTTTCTGGATGAATGGGAATACATCTGATATAAGACACACACAACGCACACTGCAGTGCCTGGATCCAATACCCAGCCCCCACTCCTGATTCCAGCTTCCTTCTAACCCACACCCTGGGAGGCAGCAGTGATGGTTCAAGTAATTGGGTTCCTGCCGCCTACATGGGAGACTTGGAGTTCCTGACTGTTGACTTCACTGGCTCTTGGCTTTAGGTGGCCAAGTCCCAGCTGTTGTGGCCATTTGGGGAGTGAACTGGCGGATGCTACCCCTCTCTCTCTCAAATAAAAAAAAATTTTAAATCTTTTTGACGGGCTTTCCTTTGTAGTCTAGGCCTCATACACAAACTATAACCCACAAGTCATATCCTGTGGCAGACTACAGCTCACATTAGCCATTGAATGCAAATAAGTCTCAATCAAAGAAGAAAGGAAATTAAAGTGTTCAGGGTGTATCTGCTCTGATTGGGCTGAGCAGCCCCCATGACTCTCCTGTATACTTAGTGCCCTTGGCACACGGGTATTTCATGTGGGCAGGGTGAAACTGGCTGTGGTCAGGGTGAGACTTTAAGCTTTTGATTTATTCCCTTATTTTGAAAGGATTAAAAAGACATTACATATTTTTGTGTAATTTTAGTACTACTATTAATTTTGATGACGTGTAAGTGAGGATGAAAAGAATGCTAAGTCACTGCTGCAGATCAATATTCTTGCCGAGAAGGCAGGTTTTGATGATCTGACTTCATTTTGTGTTGTCCTGCTCTAGTTCTTTAAATAATGGCTTTGTTGGGATGCAAGTCTTCTCTCAGCTCTGAGTCTTACACCTGGCTTCACCTGTGGGACTTCCATAAGGGGGGAGGGGGGGAGATGGCCTCAGGACCTTGTGGTGGCCTCTCTTTTCCTCAGAGGCACAACAGATGCAGGGCAAAAAATAAAAAATAAAATAAAAAATAAAAAATAAAAGATAAGTAAAAGTATCAAATGCATCCTAATGGGGTACACAATTCAGGGGTCAGTCTATTCACAACAGATGTGCAGCCATCACCACTCGTTAATATCAGCATCTTCGTCACCCCCAAAAGAAACCCCATGTCCATTCAAAGCCACTGCCCATTCCTCTACCCCTCCTGGCACCTAGCAAGCAATATTCCATTTTTGTCTCTCTAAATTTTCCTATCCTCAATATTTCCTATTAGTAGAATTACACCATATGTGGCCTTCTTTATCTGGCTTCTTGGCACATTTCCTGGGTGCGTGCATTTTGTGGCTATGTCAGTACTTAGTTTCATTGTTTGATTGTGAATTATCTGCTGTGAAGATATACTGCATTTTGTGTACCCTTTTTTCAGTGGACAGACATTTGGGATGCTTTTTTTTTTTTAATGTTTGAAAACAGTTGCTGTGAACATCTGCAGAGGTTTTTTTATGGACATGTTTTCCCTTCTCTCTGATCTATACCTAGCATTCAAATTGTTGAGTCTTAAACCATCTTTAACCATTTGAGGAACTGCCAAGTTGTTTTCCAAAGTGGCTGCACCATCTCCCAATCACAGCAGCAAGTGTTCCAGTTTTTCTGAGTCTTTGCCAGCACTTGTTATTGTTTGTTTTGTACATTTTATTTAAGTTTAAAATTTTCTCAGCCACCTTTCCTCTTTTTTTTTTCAGGCTTTCGAAGGGCTAGCATCATAAAATAAATTTTCAAGTATATATATAAAAGCAGAATAGTTCAATCATCTCCATTACCCATCCTCAGCTACAACGTCAGCTCTTGATGTGTTGACTGGACATGGTACATCGCTTCCCCTGTTGGACAATAAGGGCTTACCTCATTCATTTTCCCCTTCACAAATTTTTTACAGTAAGTTATCTTTTAGTTCTTATATCACCTTTAAAGTTCATAGAAATAATTAAACCTCATGTTCTTATTCCATCAAACCTTGACGGTGGTGGTGAACTGACTCCTCCCATGGAAGCTGGGAGTGTTAGTGCCCTGCCTGTCTCTCCCAACCGTGTTCAGCTCTTCCTTTTGTATTGTCTGGTGGGTGGTGTTTAGAGTCTGTTCTCCACCCATAATTAAGTCTTCCGTACTTTGTCAGTTGGTTCTAAGACTTGATAACCAAAAGAATTTATATTACGAGTTCAAAGGTTGTCCACTGCAGCACCTGACAGTGTGTGAGGCTTACTTACGTTTTCTACAGACTTTGTGCGAAGGGGAGACGAGTGTTCTAAGCACCTAGCTGACCGCTAGTTTAGACAGGAGGATTCATGGACACACTGTGCAGGCTCTCTTCCTTATCATTTACATCTCACATGGCTCTGTTTCTTAATCATCGTATGCTGTTCTCGCTCCCAGTAGAGAGGAACAGCGTTGAGAAGGAAATGGTCTTTCTGTTTGGCTCCTACACTATTTATAGTAAGTTAACTTGGTTTTTCTAAGAGTTGCAAACCACAATTGCATTTGTCACGTAAACATAGTCACCATTAAATACCATCACTGTTATATTCTACATATACTTTATTTTATGATGAATTATAAATACATAAATATTAAAAAAATAAAGCCATTAAAATTCATAAATTAAAATATTCAGCTCTGACGCTTTGAGTATTTCTCTTGCATGGCGGTCTTTAGCCTGTCTAAGAAGTCTTCCAGTGTAGTCTGTCTGGCTTCCTTCCCAGGACAGTTGCTCTGCGAAAGAAGCATTGCGTTAGCTGCATTGGGAAGCATTCGAGGCTTGCTCTCCTGCCTGTCGACTGGGTCAGGCATCCCCTGGCGCTTGCCACCTGCACAGTGCGCAAACCTGGACCTCCACACTAGTTTGATTGGGGTCCGACTCTGCCACTAGACCAGCAGGGTCTTTACCTAACCTTCCTGGTCACGGTACCCCCTGCATGCTGGCTTTCAGGGGGTGGGCACAGTCTCTGGAGATGTGTCACAGCTAGGGGCTGCTCACAGGCAGTGACATGGAGGTGCAGGTTAGACCAGTTCATTGCCCTCCTGGGCACTCTGTGTGGCTGCCTGACTTGCTGAGAGATTCAGTCAGCTGCCCTCATGCCCTCAGTAACACCACCGTGCTGTGGCACCAAAGGAGAAAAGGATTCCAGGTCCCTACCTCCAGGCCACCACTTCACTTTGAATAGGGGGCCAATGCCGTGGTGCAGGTTAATCCTCCGCCTGCGGCGCCGGCATCCCACATGGGTACCAGTTCTAGTCCCAGCTGCTCCTCTTCCGATCCAGCCCTCTGCTATGGCCTGGGATGGCAGTAGAAGATGGCCCAAGTCCTTGGGCCCCTACACTTGTGTGGGAGACTGAGAAGAAGCTCCTGGCTCCTGGCTTCAGATCGGCGCAGCTCCAGCAGTTGCGACTGAACCAGTGGGTGGAAAACCTCTCTCTCTGTCTCTCCCTCTCACTGTCTGTAACTCTACCTCTCAAATAAATAAATAAAAATCTTTTTTTTTTTTAAAAGCCATTGCTTAGGCAAGCTACTTAATTTATTAAAAAAAATGTCAGTTTCTTCCTTTGTAAAGTGGGGACGATAGTACCCACTTCTGAAGGTCATTAAGAGGCTTGCAAGAGAGAACGCGTGCAGTGGCCGGTCCTGTTCATTCCCTTGATCTTTCCAGTAAGGTGTGAAGGTGGAGGCCCAGGAGGGGAAGAACGTCCCTGTTCTCTAAAGCCGGCTCCTCTGCTCTGCTCCAAGGCTTCTGCCCTCTCCTGATTCTGTCCGTTTCCTGTAGCATCAGCTTTCCTTCCTTCCCACTGGCACCCTAACACGCTGATGGATATCCCGCCTGGGAAGAGCTCCCCTTACTCCACACCTGCCCTTCAGCTATTGTTCCTTTTCTCTGCAACCTTACGGCAGAACACCTCAAAAAGAGTTTTCTGTATTCACGGTCCGTGATTCACCTGTTCCCACCTCCTCCTCTCTTGTACCAGCGCCAGCTGGGCTTGCATCCCTACCTCTCCATTTATATCCCTATCACCAGGGCTATCCGTCCTTCCAAAGCACTCCCTCCCTAAGAGAGCGTCTTCCCTTGCCTTGCGGTGCACCACACGCTCCTAAGTTTTATCCTATGGCAGTGGCTGCTGCTTTTCGTCTCCTCTGTTGGATCCCCCTCTTCCTAACCTCCAAGACTCAGGCTTCAGATCTCTTCCCTTCTCTACTTCAGTCTGACTTGAGGTAGCATCACTGGAGAACTCTGTTTTACATGTAAGTCCTGACCTCTCCCCTAAGCTTTTCTGACCATCTTCTCAACATGTCCACTTAGGTCTGCAAATAGCTACCTCATATTTATGATGTTTGAAATTGAATTCTCCATCTTCCACAGCATGAAGCTATGTTAAGTCCCCAGCGTTCCATGGCTGTTACAGGACCAGCCATCCCCAAAGGGTCCCTGCAGGAACCACGAAGTCACCTTGTTCTTCTTTCATAACTCACAAATGATTTGCCACCAAGTCCTTCTGGCCCTATTTGTAGTTATATCCCAAATTGAGCCACCTCCACTGTTCCCACCCCATCCGAGCCACCATTGTCTCCAGACTGGTCTACGGTAGAAGCTTTCTGACAATACACTCAACGCTGTTCAGTCTGCTTACCATACCATGACCAGAGTGACCACTTACAGCCATGTAAGTCAGATCGTCCTCTATCCTGCTCAGAACCCCATCCTCGGGGCAGAATGCAAAGGCCCTGTGTGATGTGATTGGCTGAACTCCCCCTGGGTCCCTCTGATCCAGTCATATTGGTCGTCTGGCTGAGCTTTGAACCAACACATGAAACTCATCTCCACCCTCGGGCCTCTGCACAGCTGTACTTTCTGTGTTGATCAGGTGGCCTGAATCCTCTCAAACTGCTGCTTGGATAACATCACGAACTCCTGAACCAGTCCTCTGCACTGTGACTCCTGCATTCTTTATTTCTGTTTTTCTTCATGGCGCTTTTCGTTACTGAACATCATATTACACATTTGCATCTGAGAGCAGTGGACTGGCTGCTTATCTGAGAGAGCTTCCTCCACTGGTTCAGCCTCCAGACGCTTGCACTAGCCCCTGGCTAGGAGCTAAATCCAGATCTCCCACTGCATGAGACATCACAGCTACCTCCTAGGGTGCTCATTAGCAGGAAGCTGGGGTCCAGAGCCAGAAGTGGGAATCAGACCTCGGCACTCTGATGTGGGACGTGGGTGTCTCAACCACTGGGCTGACTACCCAGCCCTGCCTGTTTGTCCTTAATGGTGCATCCCTAGTGTCTGGAAGAGCACCTGGCACTCGCAGAGCCGTAACGAGTGCTGGTTGAACGAGTGAGTGGGCGGATTAATCAAGGTACTGCAGCTCCTGAGGCGGAGCAGTGAGCGGGGGGGGCCGCCTCCGCCGCCGCCTCCTTACCAGCTTCGCCATGCTGCAGAGGTTCCTGTCGAGTCCTCTCAGGAGTCTGAGGTCACCGAGCTCTCCGTGCTCCTTGAAGCACCAAGACACCTTGTGGTGGAGGTAGAACTGCCGGAGTGCAGTCGCGGCCCTGCAGACGGCCTCTCTCTCGGTTGTGTTCTAGAAAGAGAAATACCAGACGGCCACGCGCTAGCTCTAGCGTGGACGTGGAGCAGGTGTTTTCCTTCCCGATTTCCTTCTGGGAGGACAAATGGAGAAAGGTGAGTTTGCCCGCTGTGGCTCCGTAGCCAGGCATTCCTGCCTGCTGCTCTGGCCTTCAACCTCTCCAGACGCCTGCTACCAACAACCTGCACAGGCTGCCACCTGCTCTTCAAAACCTCCCAACTTCTCTTCCCTTGGAGGGTTTTGCCAGAAGGGCCCCTGGATAGCATCGCTGACTGAGGTAAGTGGCCCAGGGGAGAGTCCCGTGCAGGGCCATCTGGCGCTACAGTCCGCGTCCAGCTGCGAGCTCTGCTCTTCCTTCTGTAGAAAGA